ACACAGAGACACACACAGACACACACACACACACACACACACACACACACACACACACACACACACACACACACACACACACACACACACACACCCACCACACACACACACACACACACACACACACACACACACACACACACACACACACACACACACACACACACACACACACACACACACACACACCACACTTTATGCTACTGTATATGTTGGACATCATGTCTTTTCTACAGTGACCACATGTCTTGGGGTTATTGAGGATGCTGAGTCATTTCTGACATGTACAGGATCCATAATGTCAGTTTTAACCAGAAAGAATCCATATCTGTTCTCTCTGTGTGGGCTGATCCACCATGAGGAGTGTTGGACACAGAGAGCACAAGATGAACGTTATCATCTCGACTGTGGAACCTTATTTTCCAATAGATAAGCAATCTGTCCAATCCAAATGATCCAGAGTCCCCTTCAACTACCAAATGGACCCACAGCTAATACTGCTAATTGTGTAAATGCACAATTCAAGTTATCATCCAGCAGTTTCTATGTGCTGGAGACCCTAATATACATTTCTAAGATAACACTTTGGGGGTCTCAACATCTCCAGGTTCACTTCCAACTAAGTGGTTTTCTCCCCCAAAAGAGGTGTGTGACTTTACCTCTGCTGTCCTCCGCTGGCTCTCCTTCAGACAGCAGCTTCTCCAGGTGAGCCCCGAGGTCCTGGAACCCCAGAGGCTTCCTGCAGGGGGGGGGGGGGGGGGGGGGGGGGGGGGGTGATGTTAATACTAGACCGTATAATAGAATAGTAATAGTAGAAAACATATCTATTTCTAGTTTTGTAATTACCAACTGCACTGACGAACACATGTACAATCACTTATTTATTGACTTGTCATTAATGCCAGAGGGGAAATTCAGTTTTTCACTCTGGTGCTGTTTTACATTTTACACAGACCCGAAATACAGTCACTCACACACACACATACTTTTACATTTCACATTTTGTATTCATGTGTAATGACTGTTAACAATGCTGCTGTGATAAAATCAAGTATAAATCAATTATATTGTTGTTCTTACAGATCAACTCCCGAAAATATAAATTATACAAATTCTTATTAAAATATTATTTTTTGCCCACGATTCAAACGTCATGCTTATATTTAGCTTTAAACTTTAATCTCAACGCGACTCCAGACAGCTGCTGTTCACCCAGAGAAGTGTGTGTGTGTGTGTGTGTGTGTGTGTGTGTGTGTGTGTGTGTGTGTGTGTGTGTGTGTGTGTGTGTCTATGTATAGAGAGGCTGGGGGTAACATGAATCTGTCTGGCTTAAGGAGGTCAGGGTCACACACACACACACACACACACACACACACACACACACACACACACACACACACACACACACACACACACACACACACACACACACACACACACACACACACACACACACACACACACACACACACACACACACACACACACACACACACACACACACACACACACACACACACACACACACACACACACACACACACACACACACACACACACACACACACACACACACACACACACACACACACCTTTTTAGGAGTTTCTGCTCACACTTTCTCGCTGTGTTTCAAGTCTAGTTGTTTTTTTAAACGTTTTCACAAAACTCAAGATTGTTTTGTTTTTAATTTTCCACCTTTGCACTTATTTATATTTTAAAGCGGGGTACTTCTCCGACTTTTACACACAAAATATTGAAATGGAATTTCAAGATTTAAAAAAATGTTCCGACTTTGCGCTCAAACTTTTTATGCAATATTTTTTTTTCTGAGTCTCTCGTTGTTTCCATGCAAACTTTTTAATGTGTTGATTCATTCCCATTTCTCTGCCTTTGCACTAAAACTGTCATGCAACATTTCAAGAATTGTTTTGTGTTTTCTTACAATTTTCCAGACAAAATAATACAAGATTAGATTGTTAAAGACTTCACTTTTCCACTTAGGTTGCGGTCGAATAGTCCATTTAGGCCCCTAGGTTCAATTCTCACAAAACACAACATCCCCTTCCACTGTTACGCTGACGATGTACAGATCTATCTGCCTCTCAATTCAAATGTCAACTCACTACAGCAGCTGATGGACTGCTTAGCAGAGATTAAATCCTGGCTGAGACAAAACTTCCTCAACCTCAACGAGAGCAAGACTGAGGTCATCTTTTTTGGACCCCAACCTCCAGCCTCTCCGGTTGATATTCTGGGCTCTATCAAAAAAAACATCCTCCCCTCTGTCATGAACCTTGGAGTGACATTCACCAGCACTTTTAAATTTGATAAGCAGGTCAGCACCGTAGTCAAGACCTGCTTTTTTAAAATAAGACTATTGGCCAAAACCAAGTCGTATTTATCTTTTAATGACTTAGAAAGGGTTATCAACGCCTTTGTAACCTCGAGACTGGACTATTGCAACGCTCTGTATGTGGGTATGGACCAGGCCTCAATTAAACGCCTGCAGCTAGTGCAGAACGCAGCTGCACGTTTGCTGACTGGCCACAAAAAGCGTGACCACATCACCCCTATTCTGGCCTCACTGCACTGGCTTCCAGTTCGGTTCAGAATAGATTTTAAAATCCTTTTATTTGTTTTCAAAGCCCTAAATGGGCTGGCTCCGGCCTATATAGCTGAACTCCTCCAGCGCTACACCCCAGCCAGAGCTTTAAGGTCTGCTGACCAGCTGCTGCTGATAGTGCCCAAGACCAGGCTCAAAACCCGAGGGCACCGAGCCTTCTCAGCAGCTGGCCCTAGGCTCTGGAACACTCTGCCCCTCCATGTGAGGTCGGCCCAGACCCTAGGGGGTTTAAAATCCACATTAAAAACACACTTCTTCTCTCTGGCCTTCTAGTCAGAGCGGAGCACGACTCCTGACTTTTCCCTGTGTGTGATTTTTTATTTTTGCTGTTGTATTTGTTGTAGTGTTTTTATTGTAAAGTGTTTTTATTTATGTACAGCACTTTGGCTCGACCAAAAATACAGCCATCCCATAATTACAGATGTAACGCTGAAGAGGCAGAGAGACATTTCTAGATCTCTTTTTGTAGTTTTTTTTTTAGACTTTTCCACGATTTCAGAATTTTCAGCGATCTTTTTAGGAGTTTCTGCTCAAACTTTCTCGCTGTGTTTCAAGTCGGTTTCATTTCTAGTTGTTTTTCTAAACGTTTTCACAAAACTCAAGATTGTTTTGTTTTTAATTTTCCATCTTTGCACTTATTTATTTATATTTTAAAGCGGGGTACTTTTCCGACTTTTACACACAAAATATTGAAATGGAATTTCAAGATTTAAAATTTTTTTCCGACTTTGCGCTCAAACTTTTTATGCAATATTTTACGTTTTTTTCTGAGTCTCTCGTTGTTTCCATGCAAACTTTTTAATGTGTTGATTCATTCCCATTTCTCTGCCTTTGCACTAAAACTGTCATGCAACATTTCAAGAATTGTTTTGTGTTTTCTTACAATTTTCCAGACAAAATAATACAAAATTAGATTGTTAAAGACTTCACTTTTCCACTTAGGTTAAAAATCGTTTTAAAAATGTGCTATATAAATAAAACTTGATTTGATTTGATTTAGCTTAGGAACCTTCCTAACGGAGTGAAATGACCCGGAAGTACCTCTGATGAAGCCATATCTAGGAGCTTATATCATTTAATAGTTATCCATTTATCTTATTGTTCTTTTTGGTTTATATTAAATCTTCCTTTGAATTCTTACTTAAGTTTATCAAATAAGTTGTACTATGCCTCTGTTTTGTAAAGGCAGCCTTTGGGCACCGGGGGGGGGGGGAAGACCTGCTCATTATAAATCTGGGAAACAGGTGGCAGTGCACAGCGCACCCGGTAGGCCTATGCTTTTTTACCATCGGGTAAGAACGAAGAAAAGTGCTTGTATATGTGTATAATAATTTGCACTAAAACGACTTTTGCTCGGACCTTGATTTTTACCCAGAGCGGAGTTACCTGAGGGAGGCCAGAGCAGGGCCCTGATTGGTGGAGGGGGGGAACACATGGTGCAGGTAGTCACTCAGAAGCTTCTCGTTCACGATGCCTGACAGAAAGAGAGAGAGAGACTCAATCAGAAACAACTACCATAATAATCTGGAGACTGTTTCATAATGACTGATTATATAATTAGGTTCCCACCAGGTAGACAAAGCCTCTGAATGTGAAGCAGCTCGATGTAATGAACTCTGAATGGTACAAAGTGTGTTGTGTGTCTTCTCTAGATCTCATTACAGCACTTTTATAAAGACAGGTGAAACTTTGATGTGACAGTTTTGTTAGAAATTCATCGATTAAGTGCAGTCCAATTCTGGCCTCACAACACTGGCTTCCAGTTCGGTTCAGAATAGATTTTAAAATCCTTTTATTTGTTTTTAAAGCACTAAATGGGCTGGCTCCGGCCTGTATAGCTGAACTGCTCCAGCGCTACACCCCAGCCAGAGCTTTAAGGTCTGCTGACCAGCTGCTGCTGGTAGTGCCCAAGACCAGGCTAAAAACCAGAGGGCACCGAGCCTTCGCAGCAGCTGGCCCTAGGCTCTGGAACACTCTGCCCCTCCATGTGAGGTCGGCCCAGACCCTAGGGGGTTTAAATCTACTCTTAAGACACACTTCTTCTCTCTGGCTTTCTAGTCAGAGCGGAGCACGACTCCTGACTTTTCCCTGTGTTTCTTTTTAAATATCTGTTGTCATTTATTGTCTTTTATTGTGATTATAGTAATGTGTTTTTATGTGATTGTAGTTATTACATGTACAGCACTTTGGCCCGACCAAAAATCGCTTTTAAATGTGCTTTATAAATAAACCTTGATTTGATTTGATTTGATTTGATTGAGTATCACTCACCTGTAGATCTGGGTTTGTCTGTGTCTGAAGCCAGTCTGTAGTTACGGCGCGTCAAAGCCGTGCCGCCGCCTTTAGAGCTCATACTGTCCCACCTGGAGACACCTGGAGACACCTGGAGACACCTGGAGACACCTGGAGACACCTGGAGACGCCTGGACACGGACACCTGGAGACACCTGGAGACGCCTGGAGACACCTGGAGACACCAGAGTGTAGGAATACTCTGTTACAGTAAAAGTCCTGCATTCAAAATGTTCCTCAAGTGAAAGTAGAAAAGTATGATCATCAAAATATAGTGAAAGTAGAGACAGTAAAAGTAGTCATTGTGCAGATTGGTCCATTTCAGAATAATATATATGATATGTTTATAATGATTGATCATGAAAGTGTTCTCAAAGCTGGTAAAGGTGCAGCTAGTTTGAATGACTTTGTATACTGCAGGGTAGCTTGTGGATTTACTCCAGGTGGAACTAAAGTCTGATTTAACACTTGATTAGATTTCACATCATTCATCCAGATCTCTATATATTATTTAATACACATTATGATAACAGAAGAGTGAGTCAGTCACATGAGGCAAATCAAACCTCGGCTGTAGAGCTAGTCGAGTCTTATCTTTATATGAAACATTAAACTGGATAAACATGAATTAAAGGTTCTCACGTATCAGAATCCTTTTATTTGTCCTGCAACGGGGAAATGTACATTATTACTACATATATAATAGTGATGTATATATTACTGACATATTAACCCTGTGAAGCCGGACACGTCAAATAATAGCCAGAAATTGAAGTGTTAATTGCACCTTTTGTAAAAAACTGTTAATGCTAATGAGCATGCACAGAAATAAAGGGTCAGTTCTCCAGGCCAAACTCAATGTGATGTGGTCGTGTGTTTTTTCTGTCCGTTACAACTAGCTAAAGATGATGCTTACAAACTACTTTGGTTGACTGCAAACGTGGAGACTTCTGCTGAATATGATGTCTCACGCAACAGGTTATGGGCCCAGTCAAGGAGGCCAAAGGTGGTTTAAGTTGTTATTCGACGGTGACGAGAAACACTTTGAGTTATGGGAGACGAGGTTTATTCACGTCTTTGAGAAGGGCCGAAGAAAATATCAGTGACGGGTTGCAGATTGCCACGGTAGTGAAGGGGTTACCGGACTCATTCAACCCGTTTGTCGTGCACGTCACTCGAACCAACGACCGTCTAACGTTCGGTGAGTTCAAGGCAAAACTGCGGAGCTATGAGAGCACTTACAAGTATAGGACGAGTGACATGAATGCGGACGAGGACGGCGTCATGAGGACAAGCGGGGCGAGGACACGAGGACGTGGAAGAGGGAAGAACATGGACTTGGCCGACACAGAATGTTACACATGCGGAAAGATGGGGCATATGGCTAGGACATGCCCTAACGAGATCCAAGCGAGGCGAGAGGAGCGACGGTGGGACACGCCACACCGAGGAAGGGGGCGAGGCCGAGGGCTGGGCCGTGACCAGGCGAAGATGGCAGACGGAGACACGGAGGATGATACCGGTGCATCATTCTTTTTCAAGATAAGTGACTGTCAGAATCAAGTAGGAAATAAGAGAGGTCTTATGGTCGACTGTGGTGCCACGACGCACATGATTAATGACCCGGCGAAGTTTAAGACAATCGATAAGAGCTTTAGACCCGAGGACCATGTGATAGAGCTGGCAGATGGAACGAAAACGACCGGGATGGCGAAGATGAGGGGAGAAGCCGAAGTTGTTCTGCTAGACAGCGAGGGACGGCAAGTGAAAACGAGGCTCAAACGAGCGCTTTACATCCCATCTTTTCCACAGGACGTTTTCTCCCTGAAAGCAGCGGCAGCCAGTGGAGCTGAGGTCCGCTTCAAGGACGGTGATGATTGGCTGATTCATCAGAACGGTACCAAGTTTAAAATGGATGTGTATGGTAGGCTATATTACCTTAGCACAGTAGAGGATGAATTTACTGATGATGGTTGTCATGACATCCAGACATGGCATAGAATACTTGGTCATTGTAATTTTGAGGATGTGTCTAAACTAGAGAAAGTGGTTAAAGGTATGTCGATCAAAGGGAAACATGACATGTCTAACCATAACTGTGAAATATGTACGCAGGGAACATTTACTCAAAGCAGAAACAGGCAGGCAGATGTAAAAGCTAAGACAGTACTGGAGCTAGTACATACAGACCTATGCGGCCCAATAGAACCAGCAGATAAAGACGGGTATGCAATAGCATTTACTGATGATTATAGTGGGATGATTTTTACATTAAGTGCATAAGATCTGACAACGGTACTGAATTCACCGGGCATGAGTTTCAAACTTTACTTAGGACGAAAGGGATAAGGCACGAGACAAGTGCACCCTACTCACCTCACCAGAACGGTACTGCCGAGAGAGGTTGGAGGACCTTATTTGAGATGTCACAATGCATGCTATTATGGCGCATTTCCACTGCAGCACGTAGCACGGTTTAAGCGTGCCGTGCCAAACCCGGACAGTTTTTGGTTGCGTTTCCACTAGGGGTAGTTCTGGCTAGCGGGTACTTTTTCACAGTTTTTCTGGCTCGACAAAATCCAGGTTGTTTCCGGGCCAACAACCGGGCTGAGTATGCTAAACTAGTGAGAGAATCGCTGGCAAGGGCGCTACAACAGTGGTTCTCAAACTTTTTCTGTCAGGCCCCCCCTTTGGAGAAAAAAAAAAGTTCTTTCCTATGAGAGCTGCTCCGGAAATTGCAGTACCGCCGTTTGGACACAACGAATATTGGGCACAGAGTCCGGAGCACTTCCTGGGGGCTTGGTTACAACTAGCTAAAGATGATGCTTCCAAACTACTTTGGTTGACTGCAAAAGTGGAGACTTCTGCTGAATATAATGTCTCACGCAACAATTTGGAAACCTCTAGCAATAGCATTTTGGGCATGGATCATTTGAATTGTTATAGGTGGCAGAGTGACAGAAAATGTCTTCAACTTATGGGATTCCCCCTCAATTTCCACTTGTTGTGTATTTTTATATATCAGATGTGATACACATGGTCTCATGGGGTTAATAAAAGAACACAATAAGTTAAAATAAGTGGATAAGTATGATGGTAAACAAGGAACAGTATATTGGACATTCATTCCTGCTATTTTCTAATGAAAACGTACAAAACACTACGCTTGTATTTCTATGTAATGTGTTTGTGCATAGCATCTCTGTGGACATACACTGGTTATTAATAGCTTTAAATGTTGAGTTGTGACGTGATCGTGTTGTGTTTGTTGTTGTTGACTTGTTACTGCCTTGCTGTTTGTGCTATACGTTAGGACCCCTTTAAAGGAGATTGTTTATCCTGAATGAAGACATGTCAGTTGATCCAGTCTAAACATAAACACTGCCCACAGAGAGGCCATGATGAACCAATACATTCTCCCAGCAACTAAACAGTAAATAAATACAAACGTAGTGTTTTGTGATTCAACAACATGTACAGTTAACAGAAGAAGACGTGTTTAAACATCTGAAAGGAGTTCATATCAGTGACTGTGAAGCATCTCAGAGCTGAGGGGCTACATGGAGCTAGCATGCTAACGGCTCCCCGACAGAAACATACTGTTGTGTTGCTAACGGCAGCTAGCATGCTAACGGCTCCCCGACAGAAACAGACTGTTGTGTTGCTAACAGCAACTAGCATGCTAATGACTCCCCGACAGAAACAGACTGTTGTGTTGCTAACAGCAGCTAGCCTGCTAACTGAACACCTACCTTCTCTGGTTTCTCCTGCGGCGGTTGTTCTCTATAATATATACGAATAAAGATAGGAGGTGTTTTTTTCTGTCGCGATGAAAGAAGAGCTGTTTTTATTTTTTACCACAACAGTCAACGCCTCTAAGCTACGGAGCGCCACGAGGTACACAGTTAGGAGCGGCGCTGCAAAACGCGAAACGTAAAATCAGAAATCTTTATTTATCCCAGAGGCTAAAAGTCTAACAAAGTACTAGAGGGGGGAGAAGTACTCTGATGTTGTACTTGGTAAAAGTAGAAGTACTCAGATCTTGTACTTGAGTAAAAGTAGAAGTACTCTGATGTTGTACTTGGTAAAAGTAGAAGTACTCAGATCTTGTACTTGAGTAAAAGTAGAAATACTCAGATCTTGTACTTGAGTAAAAGTATAAGTACTCAGATCTGGTACTTGAGTAAAAGTAGAAGTAGTCAGATCTTGTACTTGAGTAAAAGTAGAAGTACTCAGATCTTGTACTTGAGTAACAGTATAAGTACTCAGATCTGGTACTTGAGTAAAAGTAGAAGTAGTCAGATCTTGTACTTGAGTAAAAGTAGAAGTACTCAGATCTTGTACTTGAGTAACAGTATAAGTACTCAGATCTGGTACTTGAGTAAAAGTAGAAGTAGTCAGATCTTGTACTTGAGTAAAAGTAGAAGTACTCAGATCTTGTACTTGAGTAAAAGTAGAAGTACTCAGATCTTGTACTTGAGTAAAAGTAGAAGTAGTCAGATCTTGTACTTGAGTAAAAGTAGAAGTACTCAGATCTTGTACTTCAGTAAAAGTAGAAGTACTCAGATCTTGTACTTGAGTAAAAGTAGAAGTACTCAGATCTTGTACTTGAGTAAAAGTAGAAGTACTCAGATCTTGTACTTGAGTAAAAGTAGAAGTACTCAGATCTTGTACTTGAGTAAAAGTATAAGTACTCAGATCTGGTACTTGAGTAAAAGTAGAAGTACTCAGATCTTGTACTTCAGTAAAAGTAGAAGTACTCAGATCTTGTACTTGAGTAAAAGTAGAAGTAGTCAGATCTTGTACTTGAGTAAAAGTAGAAGTACTCAGATCTTGTACTTGAGTAAAAGTATAAGTACTCAGATCTGGTACTTGAGTAAAAGTAGAAGTACTCAGATCTTGTACTTGAGTAAAAGTAGAAGTAGTCAGATCTTGTACTTGAGTAAAAGTAGAAGTACTCAGATCTTGTAGTTCAGTAAAAGTGGAAGTACTCAGATCTTGTACTTGAGTAAAAGTAGAAGTACTCAGATCTTGTACTTGAGTAAAAGTAGAAGTAGTCAGATCTTGTACTTGAGTAAAAGTAGAAGTACTCAGATCTTGTACTTGAGTAACAGTATAAGTACTCAGATCTGGTACTTGAGTAAAAGTAGAAGTAGTCAGATCTTGTACTTGAGTAAAAGTAGAAGTACTCAGATCTTGTACTTGAGTAAAAGTAGAAGTACTCAGATCTTGTACTTGAGTAAAAGTAGAAGTAGTCAGATCTTGTACTTGAGTAAAAGTAGAAGTACTCAGATCTTGTACTTCAGTAAAAGTAGAAGTACTCAGATCTTGTACTTGAGTAAAAGTAGAAGTACTCAGATCTTGTACTTGAGTAAAAGTAGAAGTACTCAGATCTTGTACTTGAGTAAAAGTAGAAGTACTCAGATCTTGTACTTGAGTAAAAGTATAAGTACTCAGATCTGGTACTTGAGTAAAAGTAGAAGTACTCAGATCTTGTACTTCAGTAAAAGTAGAAGTACTCAGATCTTGTACTTGAGTAAAAGTAGAAGTAGTCAGATCTTGTACTTGAGTAAAAGTAGAAGTACTCAGATCTTGTACTTGAGTAAAAGTATAAGTACTCAGATCTGGTACTTGAGTAAAAGTAGAAGTACTCAGATCTTGTACTTGAGTAAAAGTAGAAGTAGTCAGATCTTGTACTTGAGTAAAAGTAGAAGTACTCAGATCTTGTAGTTCAGTAAAAGTGGAAGTACTCAGATCTTGTACTTGAGTAAAAGTAGAAGTACTCAGATCTTGTACTTGAGTAAAAGTAGAAGTACTCAGATCTTGTACTTGAGTAAAAGTATAAGTACTCAGATCTGGTACTTGAGTAAAAGTAGAAGTACTCAGATCTTGTACTTGAGTAAAAGTAGAAGTAGTCAGATCTTGTACTTGAGTAAAAGTAGAAGTACTCAGATCTTGTACTTCAGTAAAAGTAGAAGTACTCAGATCTTGTACTTGAGTAAAAGTAGAAGTACTCAGATCTTGTACTTCAGTAAAAGTAGAAGTACTCAGATCTTGTACTTCAGTAAAAGTAGAAGTACTCAGATCTTGTACTTGAGTAAAAGTAGAAGTACTCAGATCTTGTACTTCAGTAAAAGTAGAAGTACTCAGATCTTGTACTTGAGTAAAAGTAGAAGTACTCGGATCTTGTCAAAATATAGTGAAAGTAGCGACAGTAAAAGTAGTCATTGTGCAGATTGGTCCATTTCAGAATAATATATATGATATGTTTTATAATGATTGATGCACAAGTGTTCTCACACATGTTATGTTTAAATATTCTAATGATGTTGTACTTTTGGTGAGTAGTGTATTGAAAACATGTTTTAACGAAATTAAAAACAAAGGAAATATATATTGTGTTAATCTTTATTGTTCAGATGCCGTCAGGAGGTCCATTTATGCTCAATTCATAAATACATTTAAAAAACGAGGATGTAATCATTATTATTTTTATATCTTTTTATATTTATTTATATAATATTTATTATTATTATTATTACTAATAATAATAAAGAAGGTTATTTTTTTCAAATCCTCGTTAATTTAGATTAATTATTCATTAATTACCACTGTTATAAAGTCACCATGCTGTCTGAATTTGAATGTGGTCTGTGCTTAACAGTAGCTGCTCAAAAATAGACCTTCCATTTGTTTGTCTGTGATTGGCTGATGATATTTTACTGCTCTCTGATTGGCCCGTCGCAGACCCGCCTGTGGAAGGTTCCATTTCAGAAGAAAGGGGGATGGAGGAGAATTTCCGCGACATTAAATGATTATTTCAACCAAAAGAACGAAGCCTGTTACCTTCTATTCGGTTATATGTAAAGATATTATTAATTCAATAATTATTAATGTGAACAAGAGTTGACTATAGCCGGGAATATGACTTTTAAAAACGGCTCCTCCCATCCCCAGGGACGGTAACTATTGTCCGGTCAGGAGTCACAAGCAGCTCAGACTTTAACCTGAGATCTGATCAGGTATCGATCCGCGTACAGCTGTAGTTCCCAGGTGTGTTCCAGGACCTACTTCTTCATCTTTCTGCTCACCTGTCAGAGAGACATGCTGCGCGCGAGGGCGGCTGTGAGCCTGTCATGGAGGGGGTAGGCACGCACGCTCACACACACACACACACACACACACACACACACACGAGACTCCTTCAAGATGTCAGTTAGCTAATGCTAAGCTAACAGTGCTAACCTGACGTAAACACTCTCAAGATCAGAGTTGGTTCATAAAGTATTAACTCTTTAACAGCAGCTAGTCTCAGGTATTTATACAACAGCATGTATAACATGAACTCCTGGAACCAGACTACAGCCTCCTCCACTAGTTAACTACTACTGGGGTTTAATGTGTTAACTACTGGGGTTTAAAGGGTTAACTACTGGGGTTTAAAGGGTTAACTAGTCAAGTTTATTTATATAGCACATTTAAAGCAACCTCAGTGCTTTCCAGATTTAAAATAAGACGATCAACAATCAATGAAAGAATGAAGACATAATTATACACAGAGGGGTTTCAGCAGAGTTTCAAAGTGCTCAGGGGACTGTGCAGCTCTCACCTGAACAGGTAGGCTCTTCCAGCCCTAATGACCCCTACTGAGAAGACCTTAAACCTGGAAGAGGGTTCAGTGCTCTGGTGGCTTTAAAAGCTCGGATAAATAAGAAGGTGCCAAATCGTTTACACATTTAAAAACAATAAGTAAAACCTGGAATTGGATCCTGAAATAAACAGGAAGTCAGAGCAAAGAAGCATTTTGAATGACTGGTCCAGACCAACTCACAGGGAGTTACCCTGAGAGACCTGTAGTCTTTTGGATCCTGTTGTATCTTTGACGTTTTTTTGACATTTACATTGTTAAAGCTTAATTAAAGAGACAAAATATACACTATTACATAAAGGGCATGCGCATAATTATTATTCCACATTTCCAAAGTACACATTCAGGTAAATAGAGGAGGCAGCAGTGTTTATACAATAAGTCAGATAACAGAGGTACATTATATATTACTGAGAGCTACTAACAGATTCAGGAGGCAGTAATAATAATAATAATTTTAACAGGAACATTTTTGCACAACAGTGGAGCCACATGTGACCTGGTTTCAGAGTATGAACTAGTTACCTTGTTGGACTAGAGGAAGGTTGAATGTTCACGAGTTAACTATTCATGCAACTGCAGTGGGGATTACATATTATTTGATGCTCGCTAACAGACTCGGGTTGTTTTAACTTTTTAAAGTTCACTAGTGAGGTTTACAGTGGGTCTGTTCTGCTGTTTAGCTTCTTCCCTCTCCTGTAGAGTTTCATCTGGGACATGAACCCGGCGACCCTGCTGGTTCCAGCTCGATCCAGTTTAAAGTTAAACACTGTGCCTGGTGTGTCAGGGCCATCTACACAAGGTCACAGCAGGGGGGGGGGGGGGCAGCTGGAGGCCTGAGAGGATTTCTCACCATGTCAGTGCTGCTACTGGGGTTTAATGGGGTTAAATACTGGGGTTTAATGGGTTAACTAGTGGGGTTTAATGGTGTTTAATGGGTTAACTAGTGGGGTTTAATGGTGTTTAATGGGTTAACTAGTGGGGTTTAATGGTGTTTAATGGGTTAACTAGTGGGGTTTAATGGTGTTTAAAGGGTTAACTAGTGGGGTTTAATGGGTTAAATACTGGGGTTAAATACTGGGGTTTAATGGGTTAACTAGTGGGGTTTAATGGGGTTAACTACTGGGGTTTAATGGGGTTTAAATAGTTAACTAGTGGGGTTTAAAGGGTTAACTACTGGGGTTTAATAGGGTTTAATGGGTTAACTAGTGGGGTTTAAAGGGTTAACTACTGGGGTTTAATGGGTTAACTACTGGGGGTTTAAAGGGTTAACTACTGGGGTTTAATGGGGTTAACTAGTGGGGTTTAATGGGGTTTAAATAGTTAACTAGTGGGGTTTAAAGGGTTAACTACTGGGGTTTAATAGGGTTTAATGGGTTAACTAGTGGGGTTTAAAGGGTTAACTACTGGGGTTTAATGGGTTAACTACTGGGGTTTAAAGGGTTAACTACTGGGGTTTAAAGGGTTAACTAGTGGGGTTTAATGGGGTAACTACTGGGGTTTAAAGGGTTAACTACTGGGGTTTAAAGGGTTAACTAGTGGGGTTTAATGGGTTAACTAATGGGGTTTAATGGTTAACTAGTGGGGTTTAATGGTGTTTAATGGGTTAACTAGTGGGGTTTAATGGTGTTTAATGGGTTAACTAGTGGGGTTTAATGGTGTTTAAAGGGTTAACTAGTGGGGTTTAATGGTGTTTAAAGGGTTAACTAGTGGGGTTTAATGGTGTTTAAAGGGTTAACTAGTGGGGTTAATGGTGTTTAAAGGGTTAACTAGTGGGGTTTAATGGTGTTTAAAGGGTTAACTAGTGGGGTTTAATGGTGTTTAATGGGTTAACTAGTGGGGTTTAATGGTGTTTAAAGGGTTAACTAGTGGGGTTTAATGGTGTTTAAAGGGTTAACTAGTGGGGTTTAATGGTGTTTAAAGGGTTAACTAGTGGGGTTTAATGGTGTTTAAAGGGTTAACTAGTGGGGTTTAATGGTGTTTAAAGGGTTAACTAGTGGGGTTTAATGGTGTTTAAAGGGTTAACTAGTGGGGTTTAATGGTGTTTAATGGGTTAACTAGTGGGGTTTAATGGTGTTTAAAGGGTTAACTAGTGGGGTTTAATGGTGTTTAAAGGGTTAACTAGTGGGGTTTAATTTTCAACAATCATCATATACAGTACAGTAATTGTATGCATCAAACTCAAATAAAACACAAACTGAAATACATTTGTTTCTTTTATGGAAAAAGAGCAATATATATATACAACCAGATATATTCATAAAAGATAAATTATAATTGTAAAAAAATGGAAAAAAGTAATGTAAAGTGTTTTTCATAATAAAACAAGACTGGCTCATCTTACTGTAGATGCTGACCTGGCCTCACAGCACATGTCTGCATCCTGTGTTGGCCTAACTGGCTCATCTTACTGTAGATGCTGAACTGGCCTAACTGGCTCATCTTACTGTAGATGCTGAACTGGCCTCACTGGCTCATCTGGGCTGAATGCCATGCATGAAAGGTGCTACATTATTATCACTCTTTCACTCTGAGACTCATAGGACTAGGGTTAGATCATTTCTGAGCTAACGAGCTCTGAAGAGATCAAAGGTTTGCATTGTTCTGAATGAGAGATAAACCTCTTACATGTGAACGTTTTGTGGAAGAACGATAACAGATGTCTGTGAAATTTCAAAACGTGAAGCATGTCAAGGAAGTTGAGTATCTGAAGTGTAATTTTTGTGTACTTTCGGGTTAATAATGTGGCCTTTTTGGCAGTTTAACTAAAGGTGTGCGGCTGCTGCTGTGAGGAAATATCTGCCTGAAATTACAATGGGCTTTAATGGAGACATGTTGAACGTTTTTGTCACTTCATGCCCTCAAGAGGCATTTTGTTTAATTATTTTGCTTAATTATTTCATTTTTCAAGCTACGAGATGTTTTCCTACGTTTATCATGAAAAATTATGTCTCAGGAATGTAGGGTTTGGGAATTATGGCAGTTTAAAAAAAAATATGAAGGCACATTTCAAACTGTCCTACCCTCTAGCTGTGACATCACGCACTCTAGTTAATGTTACAATCTGAAGAAAGCCTCTTTACCAAGGTCTGAACAATGTTTAATATCTCTAAAAGTAAGAATCAGATTTAAAAGTTGAGTTACACGGATAATGTCAGAAAGATGTGTAACATTTTAAAGTTGGAATGAGGTTTCTGAGTGAAAGTATGAATGAACAGTTAGCAGTTCAAGTCGCATGAAGATTGTTCAAGTCTGAAGAGTTTCTCCATTGACTTCAATGGTTAAAAATGTGATGAATTATGGGATGTATCTCTGGAATTATGAAAGTTATGAATAATCCAAATGATAGCCATCGATTCCCGACCGAGCTGAACGTTTTGATGTTTGAACGGAGTTTCTGCGATGTGGAATGCAGGAGGAGAAGAGGTGCTAAATTCCGGCGGAATAATAATAATTTTGTCCGTCGAAGAACAAACATGTAGTGATAGTGTGAAAATAAATACCAAGAGTGACATGAGTTAACCTCTGAACCGGTGAATGGTCATACATACAGATATGTTTAAAGGTTCAATATATGTGCATTTAAATGTGCCTATATATATATATATATATATATATATATATATATATATATATATATATATACCAGTTTCCTGTTTGTGAGGTCGTTAATCTCCCGTCTGTCTGCAGGTTGAAGACGTTCCCCTCTGCAGGCGTGGAGGTGAAGAACGAACCCATCCTCAGCTTTATAGAGGGGAGTGAAGAGAGAGAGCAGCTGCTGAGGGTACACACACACACACACACACACACACACACACACACACACACACACACACACACACACACACACAGAGACACACACACACATATGAGGTGTGATTTGTGCCAAAGAGCGAACTCACTGAGCAGACAATCGTGTCGGTCGTCGTCTACCATGCCGTGAACTATGCCGCGAGAGAAGTAACGTGACACTCTCGTCGCCACCCCTCTCGTCTGCGTCTGAAGTTACTTTACTTAGTTATCACCAAATAACCCAGTAATGTTGCAGCTATGTTGCTGTTCAAGCTAGACTCTATTTCAATATAGTTTTGGTATTAAAATAATGTTACACCTCTTGTATGCCCTGAATGCAAAAACAACCACAGACAAGAATATATATTTTTAATTATCAAAATGATAACAAAGGCTGAAAAAACAGGAGAACCTGTGTTCCCTTGGTCTCCAGGAGAAAACTGCATATCACCAAGTTTTCATATAGTTTTGTGTGTGAAATAGATCGCTGCAGTGAACACGACTTTATGTATTTGTTTATGGTTTATTTGATTTGGAGGGATGCAGTATACATAGAAGTTCAGAGAAGAGGCAACCCCTATTGTTTATTTCATTTCATTTCAGCACCATGGCAGAGGCAAATATAGAGTTAATGTGCGGAGATTATAATGTCCCGTTTACTAAAATATGTAGGCGATTGTTTTATGATGTTGAGTTGACAAAATAGTCACTGTGCTACATTTAGCTGCACTCAAGCATACATCTGAAGACAAGAGTTGTGTCCCCCTTTGGCCACAAGGGGGAGTATATATATATATATATTGTATATATATATATTTTGTATAGATGTTGCAACTATACAGAGCTTTGGCAATACTATATGTAACTGAGGTCATGCTAATAAAGCTATTGAATTGAATTGAGTATACCTTTAGTGAGCTGTCAGGAGGAAACAAAGGTTCGCCAACACATTGCACTCTAATGCTGAGAAAGTACAAAGACGTGAAACGATGAGCTGCAATGTCTGTGTATCTTTGAAGAATGCCAAGTAAAGGAAGAAAGTAATAACTCGCACTGAGTCTTAATACATTACTTTATTTCTATTATATAACAACACTATCCAATGATGTATTATGTTTGTGTTACACACACCATTAACCTATACAACAATAGGGAGCCCTGGCTCAAGGACGGACAACACAAGGACACCACATGATTATTTTCCAATTACAGTATATTTATTTAAAGAGTAACTCAATTGTGATATCAGTTAATCAGTAATGTGTGTAGCGTACGGGTGTGTGATGTGTCAGCAGGGCCGGACTGGGACCATAGGTCAGGCCGGGAATTATACACCCAGCCAGGCCACTACTAGTTTAGTTTGGGGGAGTTTTGCTGGATGTATCGTCAATATTTACAACGTTGCTGCCCGTAGTGATAGCCCTACCGTTTGAATCTACTACTTACATAGAAACATATGGACACAGGATATTGTTAAAAAAAGTGTGCATATGTATTTGGGAACCTTTCCATGTGAACATGTTTTATTTGGGGGTGGACCTCAAATGGATTAAACTGTGATCAATAACTATAGTAACTTATTGAGAGAACATGAACATAGCTTGCTTATACTGTTGTCATTACATTTCCTTTGTTCAGTGTTTTCATAGACATAGCCTATTGAAACAGTTTCCTCTGCACCTGCCAGTTCTGTCCACTGAGCTCTGCATCTCTCCCTCAGGGTCATCACCATCAGCATCATCTGATAGTGGAACTGAATAAGGAGAACATGTAATCATTACATTAACAACTATTTATGAAATAACATTATTCAAGAACATACATTATGCAACACTTATGTTATCACTTAGTTGACCCTGTATTTGCATGGCCTAATACCATAATGAGTGTCTCCCCTTTAGACAACACAACCATCTCAAGTGATTCCCTCACAGTATGAGGGGTTTGTAGCCCCACAGTTAGCTGCAGTCTAACGGTTATATTACATATATTTGCCTTGAGTAACATTAAGGACATGTTTGGGTTTTGTGTAGCCTTATAGTCTCCAGTCACACAGGGCCTGCCACTAACTTAGCATTGGACTGAGAAACTGTTTTGTTGACAGTCGATGTGCACATCAGGCTACAATATAGAAAGAAATGTGGCTCATAATGTTCGCTCACTTACTTTCTGCTTCGTCATTCTATACCATACGGGGGGTTCTGAATAAATCAGTGATTTTAGCACATTTCACTGCCTTTTGCTGCAGGGTGGGGGTCCATCCTTCCACAATAATGAACCTTGCTGTCAGTTTCAGTCGGTCCAGTCCACACTAATGTAAACAGCAGCGCGCTGGTCTCGTGAGAAACGGAGAGAGGAACAACCAATCACATCTTCATTATTCTCCTGAAATGTAAATGTGCCCATTCGCTAGTCTGACACATAGACTGTATATAAAGGTCTGGTCTGACACAGAGACTGTATATAAAGGTCTGGTCTGACACATAGACTGTATATAAAGGTCTGGTCTGACACATAGACTGTATATAAAGGTCTGGTCTGACACATAGACTGTATATAAAGGTCTGGTCTGACACATAGACTGTATATAAAGGTCTGGTCTGACACATAGACTGTATATATAAAGGTCTGGTCTGACACATAGACTGTATATAAAGGTCTGGTCTGACACATAGACTGTATATATAAAGGTCTGGTCTGACACATAGACTATAAAGGTCTGGTCTGACACATAGACTGTATATAAAGGTCTGGTCTGACAGGTGCGTGGTTCTCACTGCGCTTCATACCGGTGCAACTTTGAACACCTTCAATATATGCCACATTAATGGATTTGGCCTGCAGTCACCGCATCTGGGCTGAATTAAACACGTATTATTTTAGTCCTGTGTGTTTATTAGAGGCCATGTCAGCAGGCCACATCACATCATGCCAGCGCTGCGTTCACAAGACATACAAGCCACAAACTGGCAATCGAAACATGCTACAACTCTTATTAATCCCCGTACCGGACAATTGTTATTTGTTCCAAACCGGATTTCGGTTCCCGACCCTCATCACATCCCCAGCCACAGCCTTGGTCTTAACCGGTCTTGACATAAAATCTGGAGTCCTATAGGTCTGATACAGAGACAATACGAAACCAAATGCAGTCGATTCCGAGACCAATACCGTTAAAAAGTGGTCTGGAGACCGGTCTCGAGTACAACACCAGCAAATATTCTCATACTAATGATTATTCCCCTCTCTTCTGATACCAATACTGTGCCGATGAGAAAGTGTACCTGTAACACTCTCCAAACTACTGTAGGAGCGGAATCATTCGAAAAATATAATATAGGATAATTCTATACACAATGCTAACGGAGGCGACACGTACGTTATTCACACGCTTATGTACACGTACGTTATCAACACGCATATCTAAGATGGCACTTTCAAAGCTACGCCGCCGCCACGTGAGTGCGTACTTTGAACGCACCTATGATACGTCGCCGTGACGTCTGACGTCTGACAACGTCGTGACGTCGCCTGTATCGTACGTCAACCCATTCACAATTGATGGAGGCGTTGGCGCACGTTGACACGTCAGTTCTCCGCTCAGTGAGCTTAGTTATCTGTTCTTTGGCACAAATCACACCTCA